ACTGTAAAAGTGCGTAAAATATTTTACAGGTTTTTACATGTTCTTCAAATGATCATTGTCGACAAAGACAATGTAAATCACTATTTACAGAACATTTACCTGCTGTACTAAAAGCTGTAAATTTCCTGGAATTTTATTTTACAAAACCCTAACATGTAAATTGTAATTTACAAAGAATGTAAATCAAGATTTACATGCTGTAAATTAAAATTGACATGTCCATGTAAATTTTCAACTTTTCCAGTGATATCGGCTAACTTCATTGAATTCATGACACTGTGCTTGGTTTCAGTATACTATGAAATCGACTTGAAATCAACTTGAAATCGAACTGAAAAACGTTCTGAAATCTTTCCGTTTTCAGAACGTCGTGGAAACATTTTTGGCGAATATTCTAAATCAAGTAGCAGCTTTTCACGGAACTGCACACGTCAATCAACAAGCAGTACCAACGAACTTCACATATTCTATACTGTTTAATCTACGCAGTATTTTCTCAGTCTGCTTTATGGTGAAAGGTAGGTGTTCTATGTTGGTTGCACCTATGTATTTTTTACTTTTTATCCTCCGGATGTATGTTTATTAGCAAAATATGTCAACATGCTCAAACATTATCTCAATCTCCCTGCTCGGTCGGCCTTTATAGTTGACTAAGAGATTATGATGCCGGTTTAACTTTTGGCTGTGTTTTCAACCTACCTCTTTAAATCCGGTCGGTAAATGTCAACGGAATTTGCTATTCAGACGGTCATAGAGACACTATTGTTATCTTTAAACAATTGAAAGCAACACAGGGTTGGAGGAAAATGTTGAAAATTTTATGAGAATACTAGTAATAATTTTATATAACTGTTTTTTAGCGAAAGCTCTCAATTGATGGTGGGTAGAAGAAGATGGATCGTTGTAAGTTCGATGTAGACGGTTTGGTATAACTTACTTTTTAATCACAGTGTAAAGTCTTGTATATTTCCAGACGAGAGAAATTTATGTAAATGATACAGAGAAAACAATCTCTCGGTAGTCAGTTAAGTCAGTTAAGAGCTCGTCAATTTATTGGATCGCGTCGGTAACTTTTGTTTCCATTATGGCCCTTGAAGAATAGTTTCTATCTTAGCTCAGGCGGTGAGAAGAAAGCCGCTTTACTTCGCTCAAATTGTTGAAAGTCACCAGCGAGCCTCCTGAAGCTTAGAACTAGAACATTTCAAAGGGTTTTATCTTTTTCGTGCGTTTGAAATTGACCCAAAAGTTTTAATTAATGTTGCACGAACCTTTCTGCTTTGATAGTATGAATATTTTACAAGTGAGTGGAGTTTGGTCATCCGCCAATTCTACGCCAATGTGAAAAGCAAACCAGACAAAATATTGAAATTGTCCAACAGCGTGTAAAGATGTGGAAACTCCTCTCATTTTCTTTCCACCATTCCAAAACTACCTCGGTCCTTTTTGTCTCTCGCTTAAATTACTCCAACTTAGTGGCTTTATTGATATGCTAATACGGACGATTGCAAATGAATTCACCAACGACTAAATTCACGAACGAGTGCGAAATAAATATGTTTACCTAGTATAATCCTTATATGAACCGGCAGAAACGAATTCAAGCAACGTTGACCATCCAAGCTACCATATTTTTGTATCGAATTAACACGAGGAGATAAAGAAAGTAGAAGAAACACTATGAAGGTAGCACATAATTCATAAATTACTTATAAGCTAAAAACATCTCAAAGCGAGAAACGGCCGTTTATGACCTGTCCGTATTTTCTTTAGTATTTCAATATTTAACACTCTTACATGTACATTTTTTCAGTTATAGCTCTACCACTTCGCTAAAATGCCAGAATCTGCCAATGATGCCGTAACAACAGTACACTGCATACTCGCCATTGCAAATATTGTTGGAAACACCCTCGTTTGTGTCATCATATTGAAAAATAGAGAATTAAGGTATGCTGAAATAGAAATAAATGATTATACGCCACAACAAAACTGAACGCCTGGAAGAGGCTCTGTTTGTTTTGGAGAGCACCGTCTTTTAAAAAATTGAACTCGCCATTCGGCATAATATAATGCAACCGGTTAGCACGACTAATGTATAAAATTTAGGAAATAGTTAGTTTTATTGCACCTTAACTTTTGATTCATAGAATACATAAGTTTTTTTCTTTTTCCGTTTGTAAACTAAAGCTGACATTTTCTCCTGCAGGATTTCAATAAATTATCTCCTTGTGAACCTAGCTGTGGCAGACATAACCTTCGCGATATTCCTTTCACCAAAGTTCATTCTAAGTCGTACTTTCACCCACCCAGACGGGGAGGCAGGTAAAGCTTTATGCAGATTGGTAACAGGTGGAACACTGGGCTGGTTTGGAGGAGTTTCCTCGGCGTTTACGCTGGTGGTTATTGCTGTTGAACGATACTTCGCTGTGATGTATCCCCATGGGAACAAAGGAAGACTTACCAAGCGCAAACTAAAGGTGCAAAAGGATTCACTTTCTTTTATCTTACACATAGGCTGAATCCTCCGTCATGTTTAAATTGTTATTACTTTATTGTTTATACTGCTGGTAAACAGAGGAATGAAACTGGCAGGTAACATTGAGGCAAAAAATGACCGGATTTGTTTTCCATTTGCAAAAATCAAGCCTCGAGGGACTGTTTAACACCTGGTTGTTCCGCTGATTTCGTCCATTTTACACATTACGATTTCAGGTGATCATACCTGGTTCTTGGATTTTTTCACTTGTCTTCACCTTCCCCGGATTCCTGGTAACGAATTTTGACAAGAAAATCCAAAGCTGTGGGGAGACCTTTCCTGGTGAGTGGATGGCCAAGGCTTATAGCTTGATTTGGCTTTTAGCCACAACTGCTCTTCCTTTGGCACTGATGGTTGGCTTGTACTCCATGGTCGTGTATACTTTGTGGTTCAAACGTAATAAGGACAATGAACTTACCCACCAACAAAAGGTAAGAGTCAACTAATTTAAAGATTTTTAAACTGATAGCGTTCTAGATAATGCCTTGTGTCACCATTTGAAATTGAATCCTGCACAATCATGCAAATGGTACGGGACTGATATATTAAGTTTGACCACATTTTCCAAGAGCTAAATTGAAATAACAACGCGTAGCGGAATTTATTATATAGACACGAGTGTTTTACTGGAAAATACACCGCTCGTAAAATTCATAGGAAACCACATCCGGGACTCGGCTGGCGTATTTTCCATATCCTCTCTAGTGAAGCTATCGATTACTTCACTGATATCACGTTAGACCCTTAAACTGTAATTAAATTTGTTGGTGTATGAAACCATACGCGTGATTTCAAAATTGAACGAGCGCGCAGCGCGAGTTCGATTTGAAATCACAAGTATGATTTCAGACCAAAATTGCACGACACGAAGTTCAATNGAACTTATTAATGTTTGGAAATTTCTTTATCGTTTCATTTTATAAATCGCCATCTTTGATTAAAGATTTAGCTATCAACAATATTGAAATAGCTCCACCCTTAACTTTGACGTTCCCGGTAGTTGTTTCGGCGCATCTTTACTGCGTACGTAACTCATATACCGTAAGTGTATACCAGTTTGAGCGCCGCGGCGATCTTTATATTTTTAGTGTTACGTTGCGGCGTTTATTTTAGGGCGTTGCTTTTTCAAATATTTGTAACATTTGTGGATGATAACAATGAAACAGTTGTTATCAACAAAATTACGCCACCTCGAACTGAAAAACACTGTAATCCATCCAGGAAATAATTTTCCGAGGCTGGTTAAGGTTGAGTTTTATTGCCCGTGGTTTTTAGTTAGACTCATGATAATGTTTCAATTAAGTGCCGCTGGATTGTGAATGAATGCAACGCTTATTCTTGCTCTGCGCTCTTTAATATTTTTGCTGTCATATTCGGCGCTTTATCATAGGTGGCTTCTAGAAATATCTTGAGCGGGATTACCTTAGGAATAAGGTTGATGTGCATACGGGTTAACTCTCTTACTATTCATCCAGTCCTGTTTCACTACGATATTGATCACACGTGCTGTCAAGCAGTTCTAATCAGTCATAAATTTGATAACTTTTGTTTACTTAGTCGGGTCTTTTCCTCAATACTCCTCTGTGAAATTTGAATCACGGTGGTTAGAAATGTGTTGAAATAACGGGAAAAACAAAGAAGAAGACAGGACGTTTTTCTATATCCACATCCAAAGCGCATAAAATCACCTTAAAACATAAAAGGTAAATATATAAAAACTGTGTAAAAACCGTAAACCGAGATAGTTTGAAATATATTTCGCTCTTCAAACTCAGAATAAATGAACATAAAAAAAAAAACACACAAGGACCCATTTCTCAGTTTTGTTTTGTTTAGTTCACTCGAAAAACAATGAAACTGACTTAGCTTGTTCTCTTTGTTTTCTTTTTCTCGGTCTGTTGTTAGCTTTGTTGTGATCAAGACATCACAAAAATAACAGCGCAGAAAAAGAGAGAACAAACAGAAAAAGAATGAAAAGAAAGAAAAAAGAACAAAGAAAAAACCACAACAACAGAACACAAAAATATCCCTGCCATTCCTCATGTCATTTATAATGGTAATTGAACTAAATGGAGTGCAATTTGGTCTGAAATCATACGCGTGATTTCAAAATTGAACGAGCGCGCAGCGCGCGTTCGGTATGAAATCACAAGTATGATTTCAGACCAAAATTGCACGACACGAAGTTCAATTGCCACTTTATTAATCCATTTCGAAATCGCACAATTTTATTACGTTAAGTTTTAGATTCAGAAGCCAGTGTTAAAATAGCGGAACCGGAAACGGTTTCACATCTCATTGAGTATGCAAAACGATGTCATGTGACGAAAACTCATTCGAGCGTAACAAAGAAACAAGCAGTTCTGAAGTCAGAGCGAAAACAGGCTACTTCATACATCAAAGTTCAATTATCGTCCCCTGAATCAATGATGGAAGACCTTCCTTTTCTTCTGTGGATGAAGCTGAGACTTCTAGTTGTCTTTAGAGAAGGAATTTAAAGGTGCAGCTAATGTAATTCTGCGATGGATTACTTTTGAGTTGTGAAACTCCCTCGGGTGCACGATGCCCAGTGGATAGTTTTTCTCTTTTAAATACCGTTCAATGGCACTCTGCGTGATTTTAAGGGATTCCAGCTCGTTATCATCTCCGTTTCTTTTTGTGACCTTGGCGTAGAACTTAACACCCAAGACCTTGTCAAGTTCTTGTGGCGTCGTTTCTTTCAAGATATTTTCAAGATGGCGGGGCACCAGCTTCGGAAGACGTTCGTTCATCATTCACTGTTCTGTGGAGCGGGGCGTATTTTGACTACGTATGTTTATTCACAGCGACAAAGTTAAGCTCTTGTGTTGCTTCGTTCGAAACAACCGGAAACCAAGAAACATCTACCTTCTTGAGATGGCCCTGAATTTGTTGTGTGGTTTTCGTTTGTTTATGTTTTGTTGGACGGATCTTGAGCAGATGCTGAAGAAAAATCGCCAAAATATTCGTCAAAATGAACACTGAATGTTGGAAACTTCCATTAAAATAGGTCTTCAGCCTGAAGGAACTCATAATCGTCGTTCAGAAACTGTAATTAATCGAATTCGTCAAAAATTTTGAAAAACAACAACAACAAAGTTTTAGCAATAATTGTTACAAAATTCGCCACACAATGGCTTTTTGTCTTTCATTTTCCTGAATTTTTAATGCCTTCTTTAAACNCATTCACTGTTTTGTGGAGCGGGGCGTATTTTGACTACGTATGTTTATTCACAGCGACAGAGTTGAGCTCTTGTATTGCTTCATTTGAAACTAACGGAAACCAGGAAACATCTACCTTCTTGAGATGGCCCTGAATTTGTTGTGTGGTTTTCGTTTGTTTATGTTCTGTTGGACGGATCTTGAGTAGATGCTGAAGAAAAATCGCCAAAATATTCGTCAAAATGAACACTGAATGTTGGAAACCTCCTGTAAAGTAGGTCTTCAGCCTGAAGGAGCTCAGAATCGTCATTCAGAAACTGTAATTAATTAAATTCATCAAAAGTTTTGAAAAACAACAACAAAGTTTTAACAATAATTGTTACAAAATTCGCCAAACAATGGCTTTTTGTCTTTTATTTTCCTGAAATTTTATTGCTTACTTTACACTAACCTTGAAATCTGATTGGTTGTTTTGTTTTACTGTCCCTTTCTCATTGGCTGAGAAAAAGATGCGATTTAGAGCAAAAAAAATAGTGCGATTCGTGAATAAATCGCTCTGCTGAAAGCCAATCAGATTGCAAGGATAACCAGTGATCTCAAAATGGATTTAATAGATCTTTATATCGAATTGAACACTCGACGATATATTCCATTCCTACGAGCGCCCATGTATTATCCTCTATATATTTGACGAATCCTTTTTTTTTTTAAAATGAGATCATTCATAGTCTTGAGTGTTTGACATGTCTTCTCAACCGAGACTAACACTAGCGAGAGGACGTAAAACTGGTAAAAAGCGTAAAAAATCTATGTTAATCAAGTTCAGATATCCGAATACTGTCCCGACCATGATTTCCTCTGTTTAAACATAATGAATTATTTAAATTAGCTTGAAGGTTACATTTGATGATCTGTTTTAAAGATTGTCAATCGTTATGACCTTTTGAATCGAAATACGAATTTTTATCCACAGGGTGTTATGAAGGTACGGAAGAGAGTCACCTTGATGGTCATAACTATCAGCTCAATCTTTGGAATCTCTTGGGGGACGAGTTCAGTTTCCTACGTTTTAAAGCATTTTACCTCCCAAAATATTGGTAACGTCGCCATTACTAACACAATGGCTCTCTTCAATTCTGCAGTAAACCCCTTTGTTTATGCTTTGTTTAACCAACAATTTCGGGAGAAAGTTAAGACAATGATGTGCTGTACCTTTCGTTTTGCAAGCAGGATTGGTGCCACAAGAGAAACTGAGAATGCTGAGGGCCCCAAAACTATCAACCATACAAGAAACGCTGAAGTCGCATTGTCTTAGGAGGGCGAATTGTAAAGGATATCTTAGTGCCCGTACATGTAAATTTGACATTCTGTGCATGAAAATTGAGATCGCGGTGCTAGTTCAACACTGCGCTTGTTTGTACTCGGCAATCTTTTTTGGCGGACATTTCATTGGAAACGCGAAAGGCACAGTGGCCTCATGGTTATTGTGCTCGAATTTGGTCTAGGTACGAGCCCTGGCCGGGGACATTGTGCTGTCTTNGAATGGAACTCGTCACTCTGTATCACGTTTAGGCTCTTCGGCAAGGTCTTCGACAGTGTCGATCACGATGTACTCTGAATGATCCTCCACCACTATGGAATACTAAAGAAATTCATCTCTATCATACAAAATACCTATTGTAACCTTTAGATCGGATTAATATTGATCGATTATTTTCGAGAAGATTGAAGCTTAACAGGGCTGCATCGTATCATCCATGTTGTTTCTTCTGGTTATGGATTGGATTATGAAGACTACAACTTAAGACTCAAGTGGACCCTCCTCACCACATTAGAGCCACATGAGAGCGGTCGTGTGTAGGTTCGGCCTTCTATGTTTTCATATAGAGACGTTATAGCTGATTATCATAACTACAGTGTAGCGGACGAAGATCACCGATAACTTCATAAATTTTTTCAACGGTGTCCCATCACCTCGTGTATTCTCTAACCGTTTCGATTTGCACTATATCTTAACAATGCCAGTGGGCTTTAACATTAACTCTATGGATTAGAACCTCAAGTCAGTGGCATCAAAATTGTCACTGTTCACAGACGATCCATTTTCCAAGTTTAGTGGCTCATAGCCACTTTGATTTTTGAAGTCAGGTTTGGCTGTGCATGGGTCTTCCACGAATATTAAAACTGCTGATTGGCAACGAATTACATGTGCTTCAGTTGTCACCTTTAAAAAAAATTCAGACGGAAGAAATAAACAGTTTTCAGCTATATGTATTTATGCACGTGCTTTCATTAATTGCGTTCGATGTTGATTGAAGTTTAAATTGCATAACCCCGGCTTTACAATGTATCAAAAGCAGCGACTATTTCTTTTTAACATCAAGTGTTTGCAAAGAGTTAATATTGTTGTCAAGAAAGGGAATATAATCTTGTGAAAAACACTCTTCAGCTATATACGTATGTCACGTGTGCGGTGCCCATCAAATAATTTGCATAACACTACAATGTACCAAAAGCAGCGTATATTTTGTTTAGCTACAAATGTTTGCAAAAGTTTATGATGTTTTCAAAAAAGGGAAAACAACCTTATGAAAAATATTATATGTACATGCTTTGTGTTCGATGTCGACCAAGAAATTTGCATAACATTACAATGTACCAAAAGCAACATCTACTTTGTTTAACTGCAAGTGTTTGCAAAAATTTAATGATGTTGTCAATAAAGGTAATACACCCTTGAAGCATCCGTAATGTCGAAAAAGGTTTACAATCACTTATTTTTGTTCTTGATGAAGGTCACTGTCCAAGTTCCATATCCATTTCACGAATGCGAATGTACCAAAATGTACCTCACTTTTATGTCTCTCGACGGAATGCTTCTTTCTTGCCGCAAAACAGGTTTTCACAAAACAGAATATATAGAGGACTGGGCTTCAGAAACTGTTAGGTTCGACTTCAAACTCGATGTACCGGTCGGCTTTTGATGGTATTGAAATTAACTAAAATTAGCCTTGTCGAAAAATTATTATGACACTTGCAGCTTTTCCTAATCAAATTAATGATTTAGAAAAAGCAAGACATGCACTAGTAACTAATCTATAAATACAATCGCGCTGATGTGTAAGAGCAAAAATGAAACGCACAATTTTCCGCCATTTTTGACGGCAGCTGAGTGCTAAAATGATGAATGTCAAACTCTGTGATCAGTCTGTAAGCGTAGGGAAACATCTGAAGACAGATGTCAACTTGTACAGGATACGTCATGACAACGGAAAGGAGAAAAAACAATATTGATTATGAAAGAGAAGCAGCATGTGACTATTCTGTGTTGTTTAACTAATAATGATGTACTTCACCAATTCTGTTGTTTAGTCTACTGACACAGTTCTATCTTTTGCTGGATAAGAAAAAAGGTACGTGTGTCATGCTCGCATATGTTGGTTGGACCTATCTATATTTTAATCTTATCACACATATGTAGTTAACTGACAAAATATTGAAGTATGCATGAAAAAATTATCACAGCCCCCCGGGCTAGATCTGTCTTTATGACCTCATACAGTTTATCTTCTCTGGCTGCGTTTTGAAGATGCGTTTGTAATTCCGGTCGGTAAATGCTATTGCAGTTACGTGCTATTAAGGCGGATGCAAAGAGAATAAATATTGTCATCAGATAATTAAAAGTTAGCCCCAGAAGATTGATAGAATTAAACCTTAGGAAATTTTGCACGAATATTAGTCTTCATATGCATCTATTATTTATCGTGCACCTGTCGTTTCGACGGCGATAAATGCAGGTTTTAGAGAAAGTTGTCAGTTGATTGTGACCAGAAAAAAATGGAACGCTGTAAGTTTGAGGCGGCGTATACTATAACTACAACACCATATGCAGTGTAAAACCTTGTATTTTCCCAGCTAAGAGACATTTATGCAAAATGACGCAGAACGACGACATGACGATAGATGTACATGCGAGGTACGAATTCGAACTTAAAGACGACGAACTTCAACTTTAGTTGCCTCGTTCAATTAATTGAATCCTACCAGAAGGCCTCCTTTAGCTTGAAAATAAAACAGTTCATTCAACAAAAGAAGGCGCCTTTGACAAAAGGTTTTAAATCTTTTTCGCGCGCTGGTAATTGACCCAAAATAACAATGTTTCCCAAAAGTTCCTGTTTTGATAAACATGAATAATTTTGAAGTTCTCACAGGTTTTGTTTCAAACACCAAAGTACATGTGTCTTTCTTAACTGATTTTACTTTTAAAATGCGTGATGACTCTCGCCCAACTACCTGGTTTGGTGGCTTCATTGTTATAATCTGTTATGGCAATGTGATATTTAGAGGCTTTGAAGATCATGAACGGGTACGAAATACTCTCCCCGAAATGCATCGGCAGAAGCAAGCTATCAGATTGACGAGCCTTCGCCACATAGTTAATTATGTATACGAAATAAGTTATATGAAATGACATTATACGAAATGACATTATTTAGAAAATGAAAGTAAGAAAGGGTGTGATACACTCCTAAAGGAATGAACATTGTAAACACCAGAAACCGTTGTCTTTGAGGCCCTTTATGACCTGCGTATTTTTCATAAATTTTACAATATTTAATACTGATACATTTGAATTTGTTTTGGTTTCAGCCTCACCATACGTCACTAAACATGTCTGCCGAAGCTGCCGTAACAACGGTACACTGTATACTCATCATTACAAATATTATTGGAAACACTCTTGTTTGTGTCATCATAACGAAAAATAGAGAAATGAGGTAGGCTTAAATTGAAATACTTTATTATTCACTGCCAGATTATCTCCAGAAGAGATGAAATTTAATATAATATCAGATTGAAAAGTAGCTTTCGAAGAGCTGATCCGTCACTGATCTGCTCTTTGCGTTTTTACCGTTGAGCTCTGGGACTCATGCGTTACACAAAATTCGTAAATTCGTATTATTTTTGGCGCTCCATGCAGTGACACAGTGCTAGGTTTACTTGGCTTACGTTGCGTTAGAGAGCTATGCGACACAACGTTTTCTAATGTTAGCAATGCTTATTCCATAAGGAATTTATTAATTGTCACTTTCATGGATCGGACCTTCTTACTTTCTTTATCTCCTCATGTTAATGTGGTAGCAATTAGCTCGGCTCGTCAATACAGCTTGAATCTGTTTCTGCCAATTCATTCTTGGGACTGTAGAATTGATATATATCGTGCTCGTTCGTGAATTTAAATTCTGAAATGGTCGTATTATCATAACAATAAAGGCACCAAACTAGCTCTCATTTAATATAGCTGAAAAAAAGTTATCCAAATAGTGGAAAGTGTTCTTCACTTTCTTGTACACAACTGATCAATTTTTCTTTATCTGGTCTATTTTTAACATACTTAGCCGAATAGTCATTTTCCATATATCAAAATTCTAACTGGTTGGCTACGAGGCCCGAGGGAACAAAACAAAGGGAATTAGTTATTCATCCCTCAACTTCGATGCCATTTCTTTTGTTATTTCCCCAAGCCTCGGAGCGTACCCTTACCAAACCAAATACTATTTTAAATGTATTTAAATACTATTTTTAAAAACTGTCTTTTACCAATTTTATGAGATAGATTAAAAATAGGGCGAAAAGTGTATTTTTAAGGTATTTTTCGACTGATTTAAATGGTGTCTCAGCTTGCTTAAAACACTATTGAGACAATGTTTGAAAAGTATTTTGAAAGGCTTTTAATTATGGTTTAAATTCCAAAACTCGAAATCCTTTGCTAAGTTTAAATAAATATATAATTACAATAGTCTGTAACTACTTTAAAAATCTCCTTACGAACTCAGCAAATAAAAACAGAATACAAATAGTTTTAAAAACAGGTTTTAATCTGCAAGACTATTTTTAAAGTAGTTTTAACGGAAGTAGACGGGACGCACGGGGCCTCTACTGTAAGTACCGCAGAGAAATGGT